GCTTTAGCCTTACTAAATTTATACTATACTGTGGGAGACCAGAAGGGAAGGAGCCAAAAAATTATTTTGACTGACAGAAGCCAATTGTTAAATACAAAATGTAACATTTCAAGTAACTCAGCAAGATTTAAAAACAAACATGCACTACAGAATAACAGTGTGACATTTTGGTGCTGGCAGTTGACTACAGTTGTATGAAGTCTACACACACAAACACAAAACCCCACTACACAAATTTTGTTGTAAAAATACAGCACTATTCAATTCTTGTTTTAATAAAAATAAAAAATACCAACTCCATAGTGTTGTAATTTTTTTCTTTCTCATTTTTATATAGTACATGTTTATCACTTAGTATAAATAGGGTTGTTACTTTGCAATGAACTCCCAGCACCCTGTAAAAGTGTCAAGACGGGGGAACAGCCCCCATACCAGCTTTCCTGCATGTACTCTTCGTCACTTAAGACCTTCATTCCCGGTAACTAAGCAAGTCTACTCAGCAGACCCATTTCATTGAATGGGTCGTATCCCAAGGGATTCTTGGGATTCCAGCCGTTAGGTGGGAAATTGCCAGTCCTCATGGGGGAAGAGGTCTGTTGTGGTAAACTGCGAACCAGAAAGGTTAAGCTGACCATATATATGATAAAAATACAAAATTTATTAAGGTGTACACATATTAAAATATATTCGGGTTAAATTTTTTTTTCAAGTATCAGACTAATAAAAGCATATCAATTATTAATACACACGATGGGTTAACACTTTCCAACTGAAGACCAAACGCGTTTCGGCCTCAAAGGGCCTTCCTCAGTGGTCACTATACAACATAGTATTGGCACACATTCAAACATATGTATACTTATTTAAAGACCAGATGCTGTATCCTGAAATTATAAAAATAGAGGGGGGAGAAAAGAGGGGAAAGGAAACTCAAATTATTATTACGAATGTATACCAAATCCTTATTAATTTAAACAATTGATTTTTTTTCAAAATAGACTGGATATATTGAGAATAACTTTGTTATGGCCTATGGCTAACACTTTTTTTTGCCAACATTCGCTGGATTATGGAGAAAGCAAGAGAGTACCAGAAAAACATCTACTTCTGCTTCATTGACTATGCTAAAGCCATTGACTGTGTGGATCACAACAAACTATGGCAGGTCCTTAAAGAGATGGGAGTACCAGACCACCTCACATGTCTCTTGAGAAACCTGTGTAAGGGTCAAGAAGCAACAGTTAGAACCGGATATGGAACAACTGATTGGTTTAGCATAGGAAAAGGAGTACGACAAGGATGTATATTGTCACCTTGCTTATTTAATATATATGCAGAGTACATCATGCGAAATGCTGGCCTGGATGAATCACAAGCAAGAATTAAGATTGCTGGGGAAAAGATCAACAGCCTCAGATATACAGACGATACCACTCTAATGGCAGAAAGTGAAGAGGACCTAAATAGCCTCTTGCTCAGGGTAAAAGAGGAGAGCACAAAAGTGGGCTTGAAGCTCAACATCAAAAAAAACTAAGATCATGGCATCCGGCCCCATCACTCCTTGGCAAATAGAAGGGGAAGTCATGGAAGTGGTGCTTGGGGGGGGTCAACAGTGGGAGGGCTCACATGTCTCTTGAGAAACCTGTATAAGGGCCAAGAAGCGACAGTTAGAACCGGATATGGAACAACTGATTGGTTCAGCATAGGAAAAGGAGTACGACAAGGATGTATATTGTCGCCTTGCTTATTTAATATATATGCAGAGTACATCATGCGAAATGCTGGCCTGGATGAATCACAAGCGGGAATTAAGATTGCTGGGGAAAAGATCAACAACCTCAGATATGCAGACGATACCACTCTAATGGCAGAAAGTGAAGAGGACCTAAAGAGCCTCTTGCTCAGGGTAAAAGAGGAGAGCGCAAAAGTGGGCTTGAAGCTCAACATCAAAAAAACTAAGATCATGGCATCCGGCCCCATCACTCCTTGGCAAATAGAAGGGGAAGCTGTGGAAGTAGTGACAGACTTCACGTTCCTGGGATCCCAGATCACCGCAGACTGTGACTGCAGCCATGAAATTAAAAGACGCCTGCTCCTTGGGAGGAAAGCGATTGTGAACCTAAACAGCATGATAAAAAGTAGAGACATCACCCTGCCAACAAAAATACGCATGGTCCAAGCAATGGTATTCCCAGTAGTCATGTATGGCTGCGAGAGTTGGACTGTAAGGAAGGCCGAGTGCCGAAGAATAGATTCTTTTGAACTATGGTGCTGGAGGAGACTCTTGAGAGTCCCTTGGACTGCAAGAAGATCAAATCAGTCAATCCTAAAAGAAATCAACCCTGACTGTTCCCTGGAAGGCCAGATAATGAAACTGAAGCTCAAATACTTCAAATGAGAAGGGAGCACTCACTGGAGAAGACCCTGATGCTGGGAAAGATTGAAGATCAAAGAAGATTGGGACGGCAAAGGATGAGATGGTTAGACAGTGTCATAGATGCAACGAACATGAAATTGAGCAAACTTCAGAGGACGGCGGAGGACAGGAAGGCCTGGCGTGATCTGGTCCATGGGGTCGCGAAGAGTTGGACTCGACTGTGCGACTGAACAACAACAACAACAACAACAACTATCCTTATGGAAAGTGCATCTGACCTCCCCCCCTCAAATAAAAGAAAATGTGAGACCTGTCACACAGGCTGGAACAGATTTAAAGTATTTCTCATTATAAGAGTTTCTGAGCTTTGCAAGAATAATAATTTAAGATATTTTTTTTCCTGTGCAGTGTGCTCTACTTTGTAGCAGTAAAAAAAAAAATTGCCCAGTTTGTCTATAGAAACAAGATTTAAAGAAAGTGCAGCATTGTTAGCGAAAGAAACCCTGATGTACATAAAATCAAGGAACGATACACATAATTCTTAACCACTCCGTACTTTCCACATAAATGAAATCCTGTGATATTCACAAGTACTACTAGAGATTTTATTGTTTATTTAAAAGTTTTATTCCAAATTTACACTGAAACAGTAACAATGCCTTCTATTGAGATCTCCTGCTCTTCTTAAAAGTATCTCTGCCCAGTAGGGCACATCAAGATTTACCCTTCTCTTCTAGTAACAATTTTCCTTGCAATACTGTCAATATCCATAATTTAATTTGACAATACATTACTACTGTTGTGCTCTCACTCACTGGTCTTTAATTGCTAAAGGATTGAAATAATGTTTCAAAAATAATCTTGCCACTCTCTTGCCATAGCTATAAAAGCATTGCATGTCCAAATTTGGACCCTTTTTTTCTAGTCCCCTTGGGGGATGTACTAAAACAAATTACAAGAATGCCCACTGAGAACAATGGGAAATACCTGAAGGCCCATTGGATGTAATGGGATCCAGAAAATGCCAACTGACTTGCATTGGCTCTGCTGAAATACATTACAGCACACAAAAGTTGCAAAGCAACTGTAGAATGGATTTTGAGAACCCTGCTCCAGGGATTGGAATAACAGTGCGCTCACCCTCCAAGTAGAATAACAGTCTCTTGGACCAGATAAAGTAATCTGGGACTGAACCGACAGCCTCCAGAGTTGAATGACAGTCCCTGGGACCAGATAAACTGATCTGGATCTGGAATGACAGTCCTTTGGACCAGGTAAACTACTTTGGGACTGGGGAAAAGCCCCCCAGAGTTGAATGAGAGTCCCTAGGACCACAAGTGTTCTGTGACTAGAATGAGAGCCCCCAGATTGCAATGACAATCCCTGGGACTGGAATCAGTGCTCTGAAATGACAGCCCCCAGAGTGGTCCCTGAGACCAGATAAACTGCTCTGGGCCTGGAATGAGAGCCCTCACAATTGAATGACTACTCCCAAGGACTGCCATTACACCATTCTATGTGCTGTTATTCCAGTTCCAGAACACTTATGCAACTCTTAGGGACCATGTTTCCCCTCTGGTCACTGTTATTCCATTCCCAGAACTTATTCCATTCCCAGGGATCATCATTCTACTCTGGGGGTTGTCATTCCAGTCTCAAAGCGAGATTTCTCAAAATGCCTTTCACATTTTCATTGCAATTTTCCTGTCCTGCAATGTACTTCAGTGGATCTCATCTATTGCACATCAATTGGCGTTGCTGGCTTGGCTCCCATTACTGTCAAACCCATTTGTTACAAGGGCTGGATCTGATATAAATGTCACTTTGTCGGGCCAGGCCATGTGTGCCATAAAATGTAATACAAGGTACCAGAGATATAAACTTTATAAAGGACACATGCAAACCCAATTAACGATATTATTTTTTACTCAAGCTATAAACATGCTTAAAACATTAACACTCTTACAGTGCTTCCTTATAGTATCTCCCTGATGTCCACCCTCCCGCTTCTATGAATGAGCACTGGGACAGTGTGCAGGGACATAATGCACAGCCTTTGTCTTCTGGCAGTAAAGGTAATGTTGCTCTGGGGTCGGATAAGAGCCCTGGACAGGCCAGTTCCAACCCACGGGCCCTATACTTGAAACCCGTGGATATCCAGTAGGCCTTCAGGCCTGTCCCTTTGTCCCCCATGAGCATTCTTGTCATCCCTCTCTGGTTAGCGTATCTAGCCCCGGTGACTGGGTACAACCCTACTAGGATTACGCTGGGCACACGAACTCAAAAGTAAACCCATGAATACGTACACTGGGGTTTCCCTTAGCGTCAATTTGGCTGCCAATGCACACAGGCGGTACCCGATCCTATGCGTGTTCAGTTACTTCCGCCACCAGACAGGAGTGTTCTTCTCGTGTCAATGTCCGACTCCGAACAAGCGCCACAGGCGCGAGAATCCAAGCCAGGCGCGCAGATGGAGCTCAGCAGCGAGGGCGAGTTCCTTCGGGAACGAGAGGGGCCGCCGGAACGGCGAGACGCGCACATTCGCAGCCACCCAGGTAGCCCCTCCCTCTCCTCTGCCGTTTCCCCTACACTCCGGCCCCGCCTCATTAGACCGGGGGGGGGGGGAGAGGAAGAGAGATGGAGGGAGCCGTGGACGGCGTGATGCTGGGAAAAGGAAGCGGGACAACGCTGCCTGGCGGCGACGGCAGCGCCTGGCGGGGTCACGAACTCTGACCTTTCACAAGAAAACGCCAACTCCCCCCTTCTCTGCCCCCCCACAAACAAACAATAACAGACGACCACTCCGCCCCCTCCTCCCGGGACACTTTTAACCCTTTCGGCGGCGCCGCCTCTTTCTCCCGGGGGAGGGGGGGCCAGTCCAGGCCCTGACGAGAGGCAGCCGCCGCCGCCGCGTCCTTTTGGCGCCAAATCCTCAGGTACATTAAGTCTTAACCCTTGTGTTATGGGGCAGCGCTTGTCTGTCGGGGTGGCGGGCGGCCGCCGGGTTCAGCGGCTGGGTATCGAGCCGGATAGCGGCGCGTCCGGGGCGGGCGTGGTATGGTGGGGTGTTTCCTGACGAAGGGCGCCTGGTGGTGGAACGCGCTGGGCGCGACGTTTTCCCCGCGGCGGCGGCGGCAGAGATGGTGGCCGTGCTGGTGCGAGGCTAGACCAGCAACAAACGAGGCAGGAAGATGGAGTCTGAGCGGGCGGAGGCAGTAGCTTGAACCCGACCCTTTTACCTTTGCCACCGGGAGGGCGGAGGGGAGGGGGCGGCGGGTATTTTGCATACGGGGCAGCCCGTCGCCATCTTAGCGGCCGTTCCCCCCCTCTCGCTTGACAGTTGAGAGGAAGCGCTTTGCACATTCCGGGCGCCCGCGGTCGAGCCTGACAAGGGGACGCGCCACAGGCCAAGTAGAAAGGGAAGGAGGGCGGGGAGACTAATGGCGGAGCTCGGGAACTTGGCTACCGGCCAACTCCGCCATCTTGTGCCTCAAGCGCCTTTTTAGCTCTCTTACCTCCCTCCTCCCACCCCGTTTCCTTTTTGAGAGGCGGGACAAAAGAGTGAAGGGCGTCCGGATTCACCAATGAACATTGTGGAGCCGGAGGGTGGGCTTTTCTGGTTTGTGGTTAAAGCGTATTGGTTGAGGCGAGCATGCGGGAAAAGGTCTGCTTATTGTCAAGTTCTGCTAAACGGAACGAGCTTCCCTCTTGTAAGTCGTCGTAGTCGCTGCTGTGGTTCGCAATCACCCTTCACGGCCATAAGCGGTCAAAACCGAACACAATTCCAAAAGTGGTTCAATCAGCAGTACCTTCCTGCGAGGTCGAGCCGAGCTGTTCGGCAGAAAAATCCACTCAGATTATGGAATCAAAACATCGTTAGACTTTTGGTGACAAAAAACGCACCGTTTGCATTGCTTGCTTTAATTTTTGTACAACAGTATCTCTTTAACTTTTCATTTTAATCATTTAATAATAAAATGCAATAAAATGCCACAGGCATTCTCCCTCCCCAAAAGCCAGGCTTTGTTCCCTTTTCCGGATTTTCTGAATCCTGTTTGGGGGGGAGGGGGGCTTGGGGAAACTGGGATAGGGTCAGATTTGCTCTAACTGTTGCTATTGCCCTGATCATGGTAGGAAGTGGTAGTGGAGTTTATTATTAAATAGTTATATATCTGTCTCCCACAAAATTGGGACCCAAGATGGGTAACAACAATAAGGGGAGAATGGGTCTGCATCATATTTCTATATGTCAGTTTCCTTCTGTTTTCCCTATAATTCAGTAACTCACAGATGATCAAGAAATGGAACTTGACTTGAAACAGTGTGAGTAGGAGCTGCAGGCTTGATCATTAATGGGTGGAGTCACCAGATGCAGGGGGTTAGTCCTGACCTCAAAAATGTTTTCCAAATTCACCTCTTTTACTTCCTTCAGCATAAGTAAACAGCTGCTGTTCATTTATACATGGAGTGGTAAAGCACTGGACTTGGGATCAATGCTGTAGTGGGAGCAAAGCCTGTCTTTGGTCATGGAGTGGACCAGACATCACCAGTAGAGTAATCATGGAGGGGAAACAGCCGAATTCTCCTTTGGAGATAGTCCAGGTTTCTCCAGAAGAGCAATATGTTGCTTTAAGGAGAAAAGAGTCCATTCCTTCTTATCAAATTTCTGACTTAGAAGAGGGGAGGGTATTATTTATGTCGATTTCAGAACCAAGGGTAGTGATTGGTTTGAAATGAGCAAGGGCAGTTTTGGAAAGGCGGCCCTAGCTCTCACCCTACCCATGTACTTATACTTAAATGGAATTACTCATTCAACCCAATGGCCTTGAGCAGTATCACAGACTTAAAAACAATCCTAATAACCGGACTACAGACTCAGACTCATTTATTTATTCGTATTACCGTATATCTTAGTATAGTTTTGGAAAAGAACTTTGCAGCCACCCATATCAGTGGCCTCTGTGATGGATGGGCAGGTGAGAGGTGAACCTTCATTCTTTGCCACCCCATGCAGCTATTGTTGGCAGATACGAGTTTGCTAGGCTATAGGTATGGTCTGTGGATATTGGTGTGGTGAGACTGGGAAAGCACCAGAAGTCATTATCCCCTACTCATCAACAGGCTTAGTATATCTATATGTGTTAAAGCCATTAGAAAACATTTCATTATACTCTGGCATGACCCTGTCTCTGAGTGGCCCAGTTCTCAGAGGAATGGTGCCATGAAGCAGTGCAGTCACAGAGATACAGTGTCACTCTAGGTTGTCCTTGCAGTTTAAAAGATACCACTATATACACTGTCCTTCATAACATTCATTTTACTAATATCGATTTTATTAGTTTTTTTAAAATTACATTCTGCATTCTAGTACATTCAAAGCTGCTTAACAAAATCAGAGTTACAAATGTCAGCAAAAACAGTTCAAAACCAGTTGCAATAAAATACAGAATCACAACCTGCTCCAAACAGCTGTCCTGTAAACTGAAGAGATCCAGCCTCAAAAAAAGCAATGAAGCCCAAAAGAGCACCACAGTCATCAGAGCACAGAAAAACAATCACAGTACAACCATCCAGAAAAAAATGTTCTAAACAGTCATGCTCCAAAACTGCTGTGCACATTTTTCTAAACTTTTCTAGAGAGGTTGCCCTGCATACCTCACGTGGCAAGCCATTCCAAAGGGCAACTATTGCTAAAGTTCTTATAGTAAAATTTACCACTTGAAAAGAAGGTCTACCTAGCAGGCAGCTGGTGAGTAAGCCTATATATGAAGAGTTGCTTCAGCACACAAAAAGTGATGGTCAAGTCCAATTATTGCCCCCTGTGAACTACATATATACTAGATGGTTTCACATGAAGTGATAGGTCAGGCCAGCTTCTCCACTTTTACATGCAAGTGTCTGTGGCATACATGCATGAGTTTCCTGGCAAACAAGTTGGTGCAGAAAGGATTTCTCAGAGGTAGAAAATTTGAAATCCTCTGCAGCAGTGGGTTTATAATGTATCTTTACACAGAGCAACTAAAGACATGTGCATAGTACTAGAGTTAATTGAAATGAAAGTCCCTGTTTTGGCCCTCTCTCTAGCCTGTGTTCAACAATCACAGTATTTTCCTAGTTTTTTTAGAATGAGAAATAATGTTCCAAGGACTTTTGTAATTCCATTTGCCTGTGATCAGTATTCCCACTGTAAATTAAACATATATAACTACCATGCAAATGTCAGCCATGTGCACATGTCCTCTTAGATTTAAATCAATAAGAGCTATGAGAATATATCACCAAAGCCAGTTTGATGAAGGCAGTAAGCATTCAGCCTTCTACTGTAGTGAACATTAAAAGCAGAAAATGTAACACTGTTTTTCCTGAGTTAAAGATTATCACCCAAGCTTTGCCTGTTTTATGAAATAAACAATGGTATTACCTCAGGGGTCCTAACATTAGCACTGAACCATTATAGTCCTTGACTTGTTTGGCATATTGCACCAGGCTTACAAAAGCACTGAGAATCTCTGTCAAAGTCTGAGTGTTTCCCATCCTAGCACAAAGTGAGAGGCTAACATCCTCTGCCTCTGTTCATGCTGGTGGATTTGTTCATAGGAATCACCAACCAGCCTGGCACAAGCAATCCCTGGGACTTCTCTGCAATGAATGGTGAACTTGGAGGAAGAGAGAGGTTTCCAATGTTCTTATCCACAAGTGTGTTTGCCACAGTTTCTGGTCCCATTTGTTGAACACGTGAAGCTGTTTTATTAAGTGATTTAAAAAAAAGAGAGAGAATGTTACGGTTGTTGTGTAATATACACCATTTTCTTACATAAGAACATAAGAGAAGCCAATGTTGGATCAAGCCAGTGGCCCATCCAGTCCGACACTCACACAGTGGCCAAAAATACCAGGTGCCACCACTAGAAGCCCTCCCACTGTTGCCCCCCCCCCCCAAAGCACCAAGAATACAGAGCATCGCCCCAGACCAAGAGTTCCTTTCTGTACCTTATGGCTAATAGCCACTGATAGACCTCTGCTCCATATGTTTATCTAATTCCCTCTTGAAGCCGTCCATGCTTGTAGTCACCACCACCTCCTATGGCAGTGAATTCCATGTGTTAATCACTCTTTGGGTGAAGAAGTACTTCTTTTTATCTGTTCTAACCTAACTGTTCAGCAATATCATTGAGTGCCCACAAGTTCTTGTATTGTGAGAAAGGGGGGAAAGTACTTCTTTGGTGTAGTGGTTAAGTGCGCGGATTCTAATCTGGGAGAACCGGGTTTGATTCCCCACTCCTCCACTTGCACCTGGCTGGATGACCTTGGGCACGCCTTAGCTCTGATAAGAGCTGTTCTTGAAAAAGAGCAGTTTCCCTCAGAGCTCTCTCAGCCCCACCTACCTCACAGGGTGTCTGTCGTGGGGAGGGGAAGGGAAAGGAGTTTGTAAGCCGCTCTGACCTGCTCTATCCCATGCATAATCTTGTAAACCTCGATCATGTCACCCCTCAGTTGTTGTTTCTCCAAGCCTAAACAGCCCTAAGCGCTTTAACCTTTCTTCATAGGGAAAGTGTACCAAGCCTTTTATCATTCTAGTTGCCCTTTTCTGCACTTTTTCCAGTGATATAATATCCTTTCCGAGGTGTGGCGGTCAGAATTGCACACAGTGTTCCAAATGAGGTCACACCATTGATTTATGATTATGATACTGGCTAATTTGTTTTCAGCTCCCTTCCTGATAATCCCCAGCATAGTGTTGGCCTTTTTTATTGCAGTCGCACCGTGTCTCGACATTTTCAGTGAGTTATCTACTATGACTTCAATATCTCTCTCTTGGTCAGTCTTTTTTTTTTCCCTCTCTTGGTCAGTCTCCACCAGTTCAGACCCCATAACGTGTATTTATAGTTAGGATTTTTGGCCCCAATGTGCATCACTTTGCACTTGGCCACACTGAACCCCATTTGTCACATTGACGCCCATCCTCGACCGATCTCTTTGGAGTGCCTCACAATCCTCCCTGGTTCTCACCACCCTGAACAATTTAGTGTCATCTGCAAATCTAGCCACTTCACTGTTTACTCCCAACTCCAAATCATTAATGAACAAGTCAAAAAGCATCAGACCCAGTACTGAGCCCTGTGGTACCCACTGCTTACCACCTTCCACTGTGAAACTTGTCCAAAACATGCAAAATATTACAAAATATGCAACACAATGTTCCCTACTAGCTTAAAGCTATACTATGTATGTAATTGTTCTTGGTAAAAAAAAAAAAAAAAGCAAAATGCCTAACAAGTTATTGGCATCCCTCCAAACAGGTTCTCTAATGAACGTACTTCACCATGACAACCAATATGGAGGTGCTGGCTCAGCAGATAGTGGAAACACAGCAGGTGGCTGAGGTGAGTGATGGATGATATTATAGTAACTCACCCTTGGTTTTAAAAAGCCAGATATCGTGGTCTTCTTTACTTACACATGATCTGGTAGAAATTATTCATAATGTGCTGATTATTGCATCAGCAAATAGAAAGCTGTTTTCAGTCCTAATGTAATGTACAACAGCTC